AAGTATTATTCACTCAATACCAAATAGATGTATCTTAAGACACGTGCTGCCAATACAACAGATTTATTGATATTATAGTTGTTTCACAAATCACAGATGTAAATCACAGATGTTTAGGATCATTCATTAAATATCATTTGATTCCACAATGGTTTGTATGTGTTTTTATTCACTTTAACAATACTCTTTGACTATCTATTTGACTTTTTACTTCTTTCCTATTCTCTCTAGCATTCCACCTTTCCAATCTCTGTCTTATCTTTCTCAATTCAATCTCCTAACTCTCTTTTCAATTCCTTATCTCACAACCTGTTTTCCCTAACTCTCCCTCTAACTGTCTAAGTGTCTAACTAACTTTTCTTTTGGTTCCACCCCTCCTGTCCTGTCATAGGCTCCTGCCCTTGAGCTCCCCGTGATGGACAGGCGTGACGTGGGGCATTCCGCCACAGACCCATTATGAGGTTATATCGTTGGTAGCTTTTTTTTTTTTAGCCAGGTAGGGCAAGGGTCATGCAAGGAGGGACAGCAGTCAGAGAACCAGTGCTCTGGACACCTCCTCAGATGCTACTGGCCCAAACTGAACCAAACAGGCAGAGGGAGGAGACAATGCCTCTGGGGGTCTCAACAGGGTTGGCCAAACTGTTACTGAGGTCAAGATCCAGCCAGAAGCCCCCGGTTTAAAATAGGCGGCAAATTGCTCACTGGTAAAAATGCCAGGATAAAGCTGTCACTGACTGGGGTTGGTGGGGCCACGAGTCAACCAGAAAAGTTCCAGTTGTTGGTTCTCAGCCTCCATGATAATCTTGATATTAAAAATCCTTCTGGCTGATTAAAGAGCATTATACCTCATGGTCAGGATCTTAACAGCTGCCAGATTTAGGTCCATCTGGCCTGTCCTCCAGCAACTCTGTCTCCTAGCTGATTTCATAGCTCAAAGCTCCTTGCTGAACCAGGGGGAAAGCCAGGCTCTGGAGCAGAGGTGTCTTTTGGGAGCGATTGTGTCAACTGCCTGGGCCACCTCAGTATACCATCTGGTAACCTGGACTTTGCCAGGATCACAGCCAGATCCACCAGGAATCTTCTAATGGCCTCTTTAAGCCTTTCTGGGTGGGCCATTTTAATGGTTCCAATCTTCCCGCCAGCTATGTGTGTGCTTCATTGTCAAAGGATGAATTTCAGCAGGAAGAGGTCTGTCCATGACAAAAGGAAGGGAACTGATATTCTCCACCCTCACACAATTATTCATCTGTGCTTCTGGGAACACCAGGTCCAGAGTGTGACCAGCAATATGCATGGGACTGATGACATGCTGGGATAGGCTCATGCACTCCATGAACGCTAGGGCTGCATTTGTAAGCCCAGACTCAGTGTTGTTATTAAAGTCCCTGGCTATCAGTAGTCTGGGTGACCTACACACTGCCACCAAGATGAACAAGATGATAGGGAGAGTGCTGGGTCATGGGGAGAGCAGTACACCAGCACTGTTCCAAATCTGTCCCTGAGCCCTACTGACAGGTTACTCCAGGTTAGGTCTTGGCAGCATGGAGGTCCTGTTGATCTTGATGGAATCCTGTAGATCAGTGGTTCTTAGCCTTTGTTACTCAGATGTTTTTGAACTGCAACTCCCAGAAACCCCAGCCAGCACAGTTGCTGGTGAAGGCTTCTGGGAGTTGCAGTCCAAAACTCCTGAGTAACCCAAGGTTAAGAACCAGTGCTGTAGATCACCACAACCCCCCTGCCCCTCTGACCTGTCCTGATGCCGGACCAAGTACCCCAGAGGGCACATCCGGAAGAGGGCAACCCCTCCCTCAATGCCAACTCAGGTCACCATGATACAAGTCACTTTGGCTCCCTTCTCCTTAATAAAATCTTAAATAAGGTGAGATTTATTGAAGAGGCAATCTGGTTTAATGTGTACAATAGTTTTTTTCCGAGAGAGGCAGACGACACAAACTCTGGAGAGCTTCTGCCAATCAGCACGGACAGTAGTAGGGCTGGATGGACAAATATGTGACACAATATAAGTTGGCTTCCGATTTCGTGCCTCTTTATTTCAAAGAGGAGCCCTTTCTTTTCCTGGGTGTAAGAGATCCAGTGAAGTCAGTGAGTCTGATCAAACTTGAGTTGGATCAAACTATAAAAATATTCCTTAAATGAAATATTTTTTTCACAAAGCAATACATTTTTATTTAATAAGGTAACAGCATATTGCACTTACAACTACGAAAATAGCATTTAATCATTCTTTATCAATAAAGCTCTGGAATAGTTTTTTTCCTTTGTATTATATATTCTTTTCATCCATTTGAAAAAAGCCCAAAGATGTACAGAGGAATAAAAAGATAGCAAGTTTCTAAATCATCATCATCATCAATGTCATCACTATAATTAAAATATAATTTTTCTCTTTAAATCATTCTGCTAATTTTAATAAAGTGCATTGCATGACAATTTGAATTACACAAGGCAACAAACAAGAGATGATTTGTGTTTCACATTTGGAAAAAGCAACTGCTCTTACACTGTACAGGTTTGGCTTTTACATGCAAATTTGGAGAAAAGAAATCCTGGGCTCTCTTTAAAAAGCAGCTTTGATTCAAATGTCATTTTTAAAATCTAATTTCCATTTTACAATAGAATATTTTAAACTTACATTAAATAGCTATTTACACATTCAATTATGCCACAGAATCTGGTGCAAATTGTTCAGCAGAGGCACTGTGAATGGATTTAACATAGGGACTGGAGATCAAAACAACCCACTCAAACTTGCTTTGAAATACAGTAGCCAGGTAATTTTTCTTAATAACTACAGGGACAACTCATTCATTTAGATCCAGGATGCTTCTAGATAGCGGACCAAGGTACAGCTGACTAACCCAAAGGGAATTTTTAACAGAAGAGAATGTGTCCAGAGGGAGGAAGGATAACCTTCTCAGCCAAAAAGCATTATGTAGCTATTTTTTTCTCTTGCCTACATCAAGGACTCTCTGTACAATTTCATGAATGTGATGAGAGTATTATAAAAGCCTCACCTGAAAGCATCTCAGGGGCCAGCTATTGCTTTTGGGCTATGGGCAGAAAACCAAAGACGAAACAAAACTATTCTTCCTCTAAGGGCAAGAAAACCAAAAGACGAAACAAAACTATTCTTCCTCTAAAAGGTGGAGGAAGAGGTGCAGAAAGAGAGAGAAGAAAACAGAGAATGTCTATGAATCCCAATAGACTACAAAAGTTCTTTGCCCAGAAAGTATTTTTATAAACCAAACACAACACACCAGAGCAGCAGTCTGATCTGTATTACAACGTACAGTATTACAAAGCCTAGTCGAATATATGGAAGTTATGAGTATGACTGGTTCCACTTCTCTCTCCAAACACAACACACCTGAGCAGCAGTCTGATCTGTATTACAACGCATTACAAAGCCTAGTCGAATATATGGAGGTTATGAGTATGACTGGTTCCACTTCTCTCCTTCTTGAGGGGAACAACTTTAGGTAGGAACTGATTTTGCAACAAGATGGCAATGATGATGATCTGCCATTTTAGGGGTATTCTTAACTGTTAGAGCAGTATGACAATGAAACCAATCACCTTGGGAGGTGGTAAGCACTCTAACACTGGAGGCCTTCAAACAAAAATTGGACAACCATCTGTCAGATCTGCTTTGATTTGAATTCTTACATTGAGCAGGGGGGTGGACTCAATGGCCTTATAGGCCCCCTTCCATTATTCTATGGTTCTGGGCCTGGAAAGTGTTTCATGAGATGGAATATACAAGATTCAAATCTCACCTGTAAATGCAACTCGCAGGGAAATGTAGTTCAGTGGCAGATCACATGATTTTGATGCAAAAAGGTCCTAGGTTCAATTGCTGGCATCTCTTTGGAGAGCTAGGAAAGAACCCTGCCTAAAGCTGTGAACAGCTGAAGCCAGTCTTAGTTGGTAGTACTCAATATTGAGACCAAAGGCAGCTGCTTGATGAGCTTTGGGGCATTCTTCAACATTTGAGAACAGTGACTTTGTCAAACTCCCTCCTGCAAGCCCACCATGCACTTGTAGATGTGCATCTCACGTTCAACTCTTGCATGGTTCATGGCAAAAGAATGGGACAATCATATAGCATTTTAAATAGGATGAGATGCAGAGACATGCTGCAAATGCCACTACAGTGGGCTAAAATCAGTGTGAATTACTGTATAGGGGCATGTCCTGCTGCAGAAGTGGAACCAGACACAGAATATTTGCTCACACAAGTACACACAGCAGTGACTGTCTCAATCTGGGTGGGCTACCCTTGTGCCAGCTCTCAAATAGGAACAGAAGGAAGTTAATTTAGATCCTTCCAATCCTAGTAATTTAGAACAATTTCAGAGTCAAACAATCTACTCATAATTTTGGGAGGAAAGAATAATTGCTTTGGCACAAGTTCAAGACACTTTACACAACATTTTTCATTTTTTTAATATGTTATTACCTTACTGACTCCTAGTGAGCAAAAGAGAGATTCTATTTCCAAAAGAAAGCTCCCGCTCATCCTCAGTTGCTCCATCTACCAACACACCCTCAGATACTTCCTAAACTATGTGCTGCCTCATTTCAGGTGATAATCTATAGGCGCATATCCAATATGCAGCTATCACTATCATGTACAAACATATACAAGAGCATCCTGGCTAGTGTATAAGCATGTATGTGAAGCGAACAGTATGTGTATTTTACAAACAGACCATTATTTATCTAAAGTGATGAGAAAATGTTCATCTGTAAGCAACGTTGTTCTCTCAACAGTTTGATAATTAATTTATCATTCTATTTTCCATGCTTAACAGCTCTGTGGCATTGAAAAAGTTGCATATTTGTACAAGAAAAGGAAGTTGGTCCAAGGAAAGGTTATCAGTATTATTTCAGATTCTTTGGGACAAATACCACAACTGCTTACACCAAACAATTCTCTGCTAAAACATTGTTTTACTGAATATTGATTAATTTCCTACTTTGCTAGCTTGTGACAGCTTGTGCTTAATTTTTCCAGAGATCACCAATCTCACAGTAAACATCTTATGAGTGACAAAAATAAATTAGTTTTAACCTCCCTGAGTATAATTAAGGACTGACTCAAACATTAGGGCTCCAGCATAGAGACAGCTGACAATCATTTATGCACAGCAGGTCTTTATGTGGTGATTAGAATCATTCAGCACAGCTTTGCATACAGTTTGGCCAGACTACAAGGGGTTTCCTCCACATCCCTCTCAAAGAGATTCTAGGACATTATTCTGAACAACTCAAAGTTCTTGAATGGATTATGACTCTGCTCCACTATCATTGGGCTGCCTGAAATCTGTTGGTTGTTGGTAGTTCTTGAAACTGCAAGGAAAACAGTTGCGGAGAGCACAGGTTTATTGGACTTGCTTCTCATGCAAGGGCTGGCTGAGTTTCTGGCTGGAGCTCAACATTTAAGCATCCCGCAAGACTTCCATAAGACGTGTTTATGTGGTTATTTTCCTCTAGTTGCAGCTTTATCGCCAGCAATTTGATAGACACATTTCTACACAATGCACAAATTGCAACTTTTTAAAAAGCCAGAAAGATTGGAACAAGATACTTAATCCAGTAAGTATATATTTCCCCTTCATTATGCGTCTAACAATGATTGTGCTGAAGAGCCTTGGTATTTGGCACAAGATGGGGAGAGTGGACTTTGGGCACAAAAAAGAGAGAAGTTATTAATCTCTGCAGCTGTAACCGTCCTGGACTGAAACTTCTGAACATGGCATGCAAGGCTACCCAATGTCCCGTCATTCTCAAGCCCATTGTCAATTCCACCATTTCTAAGGAGAACCTCTCGCTCGATGGTTACCTTTCTTAACACACAGTGCATAAGTTTTTGTTGCTGGCTTGAAAAGCTCAACACTGAGAAAAGCAGCAAACAGTTTCATCTTAGCAAAGCAGCAAGTGAGAGAGCTATTAAGTTTTGATTGGCAAGAAAAAGGGGACAAGGTTGGAGACTGCTGCTCAGCAGCAATGCAAAGGATGAGGCTGACAATGTACAAACCAACACCATCCCTCCGGTAGTGTGAAAAAGGAACCTAGAACTCTTGCGGACAGAATATACAAAACTTCACTTGAGCCAAAGCTCTCAGTCTGCCACCAGTGGGAAGCTGGGCTGACACCTTCCTTTCCTTCAATGTGCTTCATTTCCAAACCCCGAGTCAGGAGATCTCATTGCCAAAGACTTCAAGGACCAACGGAGTGAGTTGCATGCTGTGTTCAGGCAGGAAGGAGAGGCAGCGGTACTGTTTGGAATGCTCCTCATTCAGGCTCCTCAGGTCTGCCAGCTTCTGGATCATCTTGGCATAGAGCAGGCGGTTGCCTGGAGGAGGGTGCCGGCAGATAATGTATGTCCGCAGAATTTCAGAAAGGCGATCCTGGATGGACTCCACCAGAGCAGTGTCCTGAACACCAGGACGATCTAAGGAACAGAACACATAAGTGACTGGACAAATGACAAAGGCTGGATGCACTCCAGTTGGGTTGTACTGTTGTTATGTTATGAGAATCCTCACAATTCCTCTTCCCTCACAAAGCAACAAACACAGCTCTAAAAACAATGCTTGTGGCGTCTGCTCAGGTACTTTTATGCATCCTCTTATAAATTTCATGTGAGATGATAGGAGAATGAGATGGGCCATGAAATATTAAGATTCAAGGATCATGAATACCAAGTAGTAGAAGAACGAAGCCTGCCGAATATGGCCAGTGGGTGCAAAGGTGCAGAGTTGCCATCTAATTTTTTTTAAAAAAGACATTTTGATAACTGAGGAGAAGCGCTGGAGCACTCTGGAAAATGAGCACCATAAGACCTTCTGTTAAGAGAAACCATGAAAAGGTTTAATTTTTCTTTCTTTTTGAGGCCCAGGTTTTTGCACAGGAAAGGTAAAAGCAAAATGCTGAAGTGCAACCACTTCAGGTAACTGTTCAGACGGTGTCTTAAATGGATAGGAGAGCAGAGCAAAGCTCATGGTACCTTATTGCAATTCAAATTCTTATTCCATGTTACTAGGCTGTGGAAGGAACTGTTTAGTTCCATTGGTGTTATACACAGGGAATAGAAAAGGTCACCGTTATAGTTTGGTTTTTGTGCACACAGAACAAACCAGGGGATATCAGAAGTAAAATTAACTAATGTGTATCTTATACGTCATAAACCCCCCCCAGGACTCTGAATAACTGTAATAATCATACGAATAAACAAGAGATTCTTGGGTAATCACAGTTTCAGAAAAAGTCTTTTATTCACAATCTCACTGTCCCATTCACAGAATTTTCCTGGGAACTCCATTAATCTGTAACTCTCCTGTTTTTCCACACCATCTACTCCGTGTCTTTCTTGCCACAAAGTCTTTTAAGGAAGGAAAGACAGAATAGCCATAAAATGATTTTGCCTGAAAGCAACCTAAAATGTAAAAAGTTTAAGAATCCCAGTTTTGGAAGGAATTAGGAAAAACAGTCCTTCAGTGACTGCTGTATATGAAGTGGTCTTTTTCCTCTGTTGATACCAGAGCTTAGAGATACTACTTTTTGGACTACAACTTCTGGAATCCCCAGCCAACATCACCATAGGCCATGCTGGCTGGGGATCCTGGGAGCTATAGCCCAAAAAGTAACATAACTAAGCTCCACTTGAGAGTGTTTTGATGGACATTCTGTAACAAAATGGAAATCATAATAATCTGCCATCAAGTCAATTCTGACTTGTGGCAACCCTTATTTCTAAAAGCAAGTAGTAAAAAAAATATTTTCATGTGTTGCAGTATATACAGCTACATGGCTTATTTACTAAGCAAGACTTGCGGCTATGCAACCAATGTATGAAGTGGCTCACAGATGCCACCGGTTGTTGAACGATGGCCCACCCAAATGCAGCCTGAGATGATTGATTCTCTCTTACCAGGAGAGAGGATGCAGATGGCCATGAGGAGCACGTGCTCTTCTTCATGCAGGCTCAGTTTCTTCAGTCCAATCTGAAACTTAACAAGGGGCTCAAGCAAATCCAGACTGTGGCCAGCTGAAAGGAAACAATTCTTTTGAGAAGCAGAGAACAGATCCTTGACAAATGACCAGCCAGTTCAAAACAGAGCAAAGAACAACCTCAAGAATAAGCACATGTCAACAGCTTAAGACTAGAGATGGGGGTATTCGTATATGAATACCCCCCCACGGGTGGACACAATGAGAGTCCAACCCCCTGGGGCTGGACTGTCCACTCACTGTCTGCTGCTGCTGCGGGTTCTGCACTCCCTTCCTATTGCTCCAGAGCTCGCGGTTGGCGAGTCATTCTTTGACCTGGCAGAGAGGCTCATCGTCCCGCCTCCTGCCAGGAGGGCTTAATCCACTGTGAGCTCCGGAGCGATAGGAAGGCACCACAGAGTTTGCTGCAATGGCGGAACGGTGAGTGGACGGTCTGGCCCCAGGAGGCCGGACCCTCGTTATATCTACCTGTGGGAGGGTATTCGTATATGAATACCCCCATCTCTACTTAAGACATAAAGATTTGTCAGCCAAAGTAGACATTTGTCTTCCCAAGATATCTCAGAGGACTGATGAACGAGACTAGTTGTGTCCTCATGTTGTAATGTGAATAGTCTATTAAAAGAAATGGAGATTTCACAAGAAAACACTTAAATCACATTCAAACTAAATGGCAGGGTGGTAAATTAACCAATTTATACAATTGATTGTTCATCTTCCTATCTTCTCCATCCTGGCCTTAACAACTTCTTTTCTTTTGAAGGAGATAAAAGCAGAGACAGCAGAATATTGCCTGGATGCTTAAGCTGAGGCTTAACTCCCACCCTGGCACATTATCACAAAGCATCATCTTTTGAAGACTGTACAGTGGCTTGCTAAATAAGGAAGTCAGTCCATTTCTAAAGCAATCAGATGGCCCAGTGACTCTCCCTCATGACAAAATAGCGTCTCTGCAATTGGGAAAAGCCTGAAAAGTCTGTTTTGTGAATCACCTCTAAAACATCATTTGCCTGAAGTCACAAACACAGCTCCCTCTTGTCAGATGCATCACTGTCATCCCCTGGCACATAAACACCCTTTTCTAAAAATTATCTGCTGCAAAATGCTTCGAGCAAATGGAAAATTTGGTGCATAACTATTTTGGTAAGTAATGTTAGACTACAACTCAGCTAATGTGGGTTCAAATCTCCATTTGGTCATGAAATGCACCAGGCAACTCTGGACCAGTCATAGTCTCTCAGCCTGACCTACCTCACAAGGTAGAGGGAAGGAGAGCCATGTAAGCTGCCTTGAGCTCACTGAAGGAAAGGAGGGACAGAACTACAACAAATGATGACAATAATAATAATAATGTATTCAGATGTGGAACTTCGATACCTTGAGTCACATCACTGATCTGGTATTTGAAATCATTGCTGCCACAAGTCCAGGACATATCTTCTAGAGAAAACGACTGGTTTGAACGGAGCATAATAACTTCAATGGCACTTGATTTCAGGAGAGCAATCTGATCCTCCGCTGTTAGATCTCTAAATATTGAGAAAAGAGAATATGTATCTGAGACCCCACATCCTCCATCTACACTGCTCCATATGATAAGAGTTAAGCTTAATGCTAGTTTGCTTACCTCCAGCTGAATGGTTTGTACTATTAAGCAGCTCCTTTGATGAACAGTTTACCAGACTCTCAATAATTTACCATACAGTACTCTCAGTTATGACCTTACTCTCATAATCCCCTAGAGGGCAGCTCCTAAACACCTCAAAACCACCGTGTGCTCAATACAGTTACCATAGGTAGGTACACACCTCTTGCCCAGAACAAACTGATGGTAGCATCAAGTGACAGCAAACATGCAGGAATAAGCTAACATAGACAGCACTCTCATGTTACCCAGTGTCAATTCAAGTGCAATACTTCCAGGGCAGATGACCCACAAATGGCCCTGAGAGCTATTGAGAGCAGACAATCCATGCAGAATCCTTATGCTTTAACTCTGACAATGGAATAAATCCTCATTCAAAATGGCAACATGGTTGAGTGATCATCTGACATCTCCATTCATGCTCAAACTGTGGTCAGATCTGCAAACAGGCCCTGCTACTGCAAGCTAAGTGGATGAACTGAGCAAGTGGCATAGCCATCAATTACATTACTCTTTTGGCTCACAGTGAGACGTGAGGATTTTCATCAATCACATCAGGCCACGGAAGGAAAGTGGGAGAACTGCTCTCAATTCTCATTCCATAAAAACTCAATAACTGACACATACTGCACTTGGAAGACTGTAAAGATACATACAATGCAGTTATAACTTCCTAGACTAAAAAAAAAAAATTCTGTTTTGGCATTTCTTGTAATAAGCTTCCCCCCTCATAACATAATGATGAATTTAATTTTGAGCACAGTACACTTAGATTTCTTGTCTTTAATGGATGTCTAGGGATAACTGCAATTCCAATTTGTAAGAAAAATGCAAAAAAAAAAAAATCAGAGGTAGACTGAGTATGTTCAAATTGGTTTCCAAACTGTAGGACTGAAACCGCTGGAAGCAGGCATCCTATTCCAGATGCTCCTACAATAGGCTGAGCAGGAGATACCAGAACCCTCTGCCAGTATGTCACAATTACTCAGATTTTGCAGAATGGAAACCTGAAGAGATATTCTCTACTTATATAAGCCCAGACATAACATCAGCAAAACTTTCACTGTGACTGTGAGGCAAAATAGTAATCCAATTAATGTTATACCACTTGTCCTGGGCACAGAGAGGTTCAGATCAGCAGCCACCCAAACTCCTGAGCAACAAACCCATGACAAGACAGGAAATGTATGGAGAACTTCTGGCCATAGCAGGCCTTACCCAACCTTCCCTCTCTGATTTCCTTTAGGAGGCAGTTCAACATGCCCGGTGCCAGTCCTCTGCCAAGGCTAGGCTTGGTTTGGCTTCCTGATCTTTAAGCCTTTAAGCCTACAACAACCGGCTGTAGTATGTGCAACTGCGTACAGGTTGCTGCACACTTGCCAACTGAAGAGACGGCCATTGAGGGGTTGTAGGACTTTCCCAAAGTAGAAGTGAGCATTTATCTTGTGCTAGTAAAGGAGCGATTGCTTTTATTTATACTCCTCTGCTATTTTTGTTACGATTTCAGCTTCTTTTCAGAATAATATATTTTGCTCTACTTTAGTGACAGATGTGTTTATTATGTTGTAACCTATCATGAATATGCCTCATAAAGAGTGTAAAAAGGTAAAGGTTTCCCTTGACAATTTTTGTCTAGTCATGTTCCGACTCTAGGGGATGGTCCTCATCCCCGTTTCCAAGCCATAGAGCCAGCGTTTTGTCCGAAGACAATCTTCCGTGCTCACATGGCCAGTGTGACTTAGACACGGAACACTGTTACCGTCCCACCGAGGTGGTCCCTATTTATCTACTCGCATTTGCATGCTTTCGAACCGCTAGGTTGGCAGGAGCTGGGACAAGCGACGGGCGCTCACTCCGTCACGTGGAGTGTAGCATGCTGCTATTTTATTTCTTTTAATGTTTTAACAAATTTTTTTTAAAAAAACACGAGACACAAAGAAAATGCACACACTGTATTAGAAATCCAGTGCCTCCTTACTTGAATCCTGGAATCATTTTTGCAAAGCCAATCACTTTCTGGATGCTGTAGCTAACAAGGTCAGCCAGGTGAGGCAACATGGAGAGGTGTGAGAAGTCGATAGACATGCATCCACTCTCATCGCTGTCATCGCTCAGCTCTGGAATCTTAGGCTCTGCAGGGGAAGGGGGAGAAAACGCACAATTAGACTTCTTATCTCGGACATGGCCCTAGCATGATAAAAGCAGTCCAAATTGAAAGGGGAAAAGACCCTGTTCAAAGCAAGCGTATGAAAGGCTCTAAATACAATGCATTAAATGCAGTACTAAAGCTTAAAGTTTTGTGATGACTAGTACTGGCTAGTGTAATGTTTTAAAAATGGTAGATTATTTTATATTTCGTTTTCTACTGTATGTTGCTTTAAAGTGTCATTCTGGTTTCACTTTGAAATGCTTTAATATTTTTCTTTTTAAACCAGTAAAGTGGCTTAAAATTTGCATAACCAATTAAATACAAATTGTTTCCAGTTCTGTCCTGGATGCTGAATCCTGAAAACAGACACAATGCAACTCTTTGAGCTTCAGCCTATATACTTTAGTGTTATGCATTATTTAACATACAATTTCGTTTTGGATGAAAGCAAGTTAGTATGCTGTGAATGTTAAGATTAGCTGAAAGGTGAAAATAATGGTGTACAGCAGTGGTTCTTAACCTTTATTACTCGGATGTTTTTGAACTGCAACTCCCAGAAACCCCAGCCAGCACAGTTGGTGGAGATGCAGTCCAAACCTCCTGAGTAACCCAAGGTTAAGAACCAGTGGTGTACAGTATCTGCATCGTTCACAACTTGGTACTTCTCAT